AAAGCAAAGTTTCTAAATGCCATGCCCAAAAATCAGGAGCATTGATACAATCCTCAAGAATTCTAGCAGTTCAATAATAATGCATTAAATGACCACACTGCTCTATAAAGGTAGGTTACTCAACCCCAGAATGCAATATAATGTTCAAAAGCCTCCTTTTACTTCAGCCAAAGAAAGAACACTGCTCACTTCCTGCATAGAGTTAAACTGTTCTTCCTGCACTCATGAGTTCCTCACCTAGGTAATTCCTCAATCTTTTGTGGGGGTTAAAATGCATAGTTGCCAGGAATGCAACTCATCTTGCTAAGGCAAAAAAAAAAAAAAAAAAAAAAAGTGCAGAAATTGACCTAATTAGCTGACATGATTTCTTCTAGCTGGAAACTACATGTGTAAACTGCAGGAAATAGGATTTCATAAATATACAGATAATATGAAAAGATTTTGAAGTTTCTCTCAGGACATACTGAACCAGAGCCAATGATTCTTACACAATTTACTTCAAGTCACAGAATTGAATTTGCTTCAGTAAATCACACTGGCTCAGTCTTAGTACACATTCCTAGCATTTCAATTGCTAATGCCTATTGGAGGTGACATTTATAATAACCATTTGCTCAACAAACCTAAACCAGGCTCATTTCATGAATATTTTTAGAATTTCAAATTCTTACAATATTACTTTTGGATTTTAAAATTCCCACAGAGCACAAAAATTTCAAATTATTCAGCCTAACTAAATCCAACCAGAGAGATATGTTAATTCAATTATTTTTTTCTTCATCTTTAAAAGATAAATGGATCACTTGCAATTTTCTCCCAGCTTCTAAACTCAAAGATAGTGATTAATGTGCCTTTGCAACATAAGTCTTAGTTAGGGGGTAAAAAAACCCAGTTAACTAGACAAATCCCTTTAACTATTTAACGGACAAGATTACAACTCCAAGAGATAGGGAAGACATCAATGAAGCATAAAGGGCCTGGAAATTTGTTGGTAGAATTTGTTCTGAAAACTAATTTCAAAGTTCTTTTTTTTTTTTCTTTTTTAGTATCAATGACCAAGGAATAGTGGGAGGAAAGCAGGAAAAAAACAATACTTTACTGAATGAACTCAATTTTCTTGAAGACATCTGACCACACTGCTTCCATTTAATCAACAATCCCGTGGTTCAAGGAGAAAACTATGTAAGTCAACAGATCTAATCACTGTGATAGTTTGAACATTAGGTATCCCAATTTCCAACTTCAATTTTGTGTACCCTTGTCTCCCCACTTTTTGTTTCTAAGGATTTTATTTTTAAGTAACCTCTACACCCAAAGTGGGGCTCGAACTCACAACCTCAAACTCAAGAGTCACATGCTCTTCTAACTAAGCCAGCCAGGCACCCTGCTTCCCCCACTATTTTTAAGTAAGTCATTAAGGGTCTCCCTTTCAAAAATAAAGCCAAACAACTCCTATTTCTCTTCTGTTCTTATAACTGTTTTCTACAAGAAGGAGAGTGATCCACCAAGACTGAAGGGTAGAAATTTCAGTGGAGAGACCAGAAGAGTGGAAGGCAGACAGATGTTGGCTGTGGGCAGCTGGCTGAGGCTCAGGCTTAAAAGGAAAAGAACGGAGAGGAGTGGCCATTAGAACAGGGATAGATGGGGCTCTGCAGCAGAAGCCAAGTATAAAGCACATAAATCTGGCTGCCTCAGCATCAAAGTATCACAGTAGGCAACAAAATGGAGGAGGATGGATTCTGCTAAAGGCAAAACCTTTCATTCAGGGCTCTACAGTACAATGGTTCTTTTCACTCTTTCCAAAGATGCAGCAAATAGTTTTTCATTTCAGTATGATGGTTGTAAACAGAAAAGGGAACTCTCAGGGAATATGGTGGTTTAGATGTCACTAACTGGTAGTCTCACTCTGGAGCAAGGATAAATGGTCCGTAGGTCAATAAGATTGACAGATCACATGGAATAGAGGGGCATGTCTAAGCTCCAGGAACTTCCCAAGGAAATAAATTGTGCTGTCCTTCCTTCAGAGTTAATCTGCATAATCACAAGGACAACAATTAAATTTCAAAGAAGGGAGGGATCTTAGCAATTAAATCAGCAGAGACAAGATGAAAGAAACAAAGTAGGAAGGCCTGGTCAATGATCTAACCTATCAATAATCCAACACACTTTGCATATGCTTTCTCCCTGATAATCCTTAGAAGATGATATTATTATTATCCCAGTAAAATGGTGATTCAAACTTAGGACATCCTACTTCCTCAGGCAAAGTTCTTAGAGGCTGTTTTTGTTTTTTTAAGATTTATTTATTTATTCATGAGAGACACAGACAGAGACAGAGAGGCAGAGACACAGGCAGAGGGAGGAGCAGACTCCCCGCATGGAGCCCCATGTGGGACTCGATCTCGGACCCCGGGATCACGCCCTGAGCCAAAAGCAGACACTCAACTGCTGAGCCACCCAGGCATCCCAAGGCTATCCTCTCTTTAAGATGACTCTCATCTATAAGCAGAGAGAAATGTGCAATTTGGCTTTACTGGAACTCTGACCTCACAGGATATAGAATCAGTGATGTTAGGAATCTATCTGGAGGCATAAATCAAAGCGCATCATTGAGAACTCCACCATGATTCAAGAGGCAACTGGGAATCACATCAGAGTCTGGACAACGATATGCGCAAACAATCCAAGAACAGAGGAATTTTGTTCTGCATGAAGCATAGTGGAAGAGGAAAGGCTTTGGAGTCAATAAGGAGTTGGGGGGAAAAAAATCTACTGGGGCAGGCCAACACACACTGCTTAGGCAAGAATACATCTGTGATGGTAGTGAGAGAAAGTAATCCATGGGAAAAAAAAAATCACAAGGTCAGGGATTTGTTTATTCATAAGGAGGCAAATGCAGGCAAATTAGGAGTAGGAATCCTGAAGAGGCATGGAAAGAACTGAAAAAAATTTTTTTTTTAATTTTTTAAAGATTTATTTATTTATTTGAGAGAGAGAGAGAGAGAGAGCACGCGCTAGAGAGATCCTGTGCGAGTGTGAGCAAATGTGGAGAAGGAGGGCCAGAGAGATAGAGAATCTCAAGCTAACTTGCGCTGAGTGAGGAACCCACTGTGGGGCTTGATCTCATGACTCTGAGATCATGACCTGAGACAAAATCAAAGGTTGAATGCTTAACTGATTGAGCCACCCAGGCGTCCCTGGAAAAAATCTTTAAGTCCAGGGCAGCACTATCTAATAGGGATACAATTGGAGCCACCAGTGAAATTAAAAATTTTCTAGTAGCCATGCTAAAAAGTAAAAGGAAACAAAATTAATTTTAGTGATGTATTTTAACCCATTATCTCCACAATGTTATCTTTCAACATGTAATCAATATAAAAGTTATTAATGGGATATTTTACATTTTTTTAAAGTACCATGTTTCCAAAACCCAGTACATATTTTATAATCACAGCACACCTCAATCCCAGTGCTGTAAGCCTTGTATCTAGTGCTCAAAAGCCACATGTAGATAATGCCCAATGAACTGGACAGCACAGGTTTAGAGGGTAATTAATGATAAAAAATAGTCAGTGGTATCATGAAACCCCAGAAGGTTTAGAACAAAACTAACCAGGATTTGCCTAGAAGTCTGCCAACGAATTTGGCATTAGTTTTTAAAAAGTGGTATCTTTGCCATCTTACCAGGCGTACATTTAAAATAAATCATGTGGTCTGCACACAACTAGTGTTATAATTCTTTACCAGAAAAGGTGAAGACAAATACACATACCAGATTCTAAAGTATCTTATCACTTCACCTTGTATACTACTACTACCATCTCTTCCCGACCCTTTAGGGACTCTGCCTTCTACTGCTCCAAGTCTCTTTGTTTATTTAGCCGGTAGATGGAGGACTTTGTGTGAATTAGGTCAAACTCAAGTTACCTCCCCAACTCTTGGGAAAGGGAGGAGAGGGTGATCTCACCACTCATAACAACCTGAATGCTGCCACATGTGTGACCTGTCGATGCTTAGGACTCTCACTGAAGCAGAAAGTTTCTGTCTATGGTTACTTTTTCTTTGTGGGTCGGTGTGGCCTAGTAAGATGTGTACGGGGCTGAAAAAAAGGTGGTTTGAGCTCAGATTCTTGTTCTAGATTACCAGGAAGGTTGGACAAGGGCATAAATATCTATACTCAAGTTACTTTGAAAACCAGTCTTAAAAAATAATGCATTCAGTTCTAATAGATGACTTAATGTCAAGTTTTTTCTTATGCCAATGAAACCACACAGCTACACAGTCTGTTTTGCTTCAACTTGGATTTGAAGTGGGGCGGGGGGGACAGGGAGCTAAGAATATTCACCTAGTTTTTGTCCACTGACCAAACATAAAAATGTCACTATATATGCTGTATGATGCAGTATCTATGAGGTTTCCAGGTTAAGAATACGTACCACGTATCATATATAACTTGTAATGCTCTGTTTCAGTTCCCCCTCTTACTACGCGTGCATACATTTTTCTGTACGTGAAACTGCAGTCAACACCATTTGTCTCCCTAGCCGATTTCAACACATGAACCTGTATGTTTGTTCTCCAGTACGTCTTTCTGCTCCCAGCTATAGGCAGGGAAGCATGTCTTTCTTGGACCTAACTTCCGTCCATCAACCCTATTCCACACCATGGTCAAGAACCCAAGCATATGTGTCATTTGGGTTTTAGTGACTGGTAACAACTCAGAGGCCTCACCACTTGGTATTACTGAACAAATCCACATACTCTGCCTTGTTTCAAACCAGAACAGAATACATTAAATAGAGCTACTTTAAATAGAGTTATAGCTATAAGCCCATCTTAGCACAGGGAGACGTACCAGATTGTTGACTGTACGTTTTTAAAGTTACAAAGTGAATGCAGAGAAAAACAAAGTGCAGTTCATCTCCTTCTTACACAGATACATAAAATAAAAGGCCTGAAATGAAAAGCGGAGGGAGAGTCAGCCAGTCCCACACACTCACCTGCGTTGGAGCCCGTCAGATTGTAACGTGCATTCAGTTTTTTGATGATGTTCTCGTGGATTTGGTACCACTCACTCTCTGTGTTACACCTATGAAGACATTGACACTCGGTTAAGCTTCCATAATGGATGAGATCAAACAATGGCCTTAGTAGCACACCTGTTCTGTTTGGAATAACCATCAGAATGTACGCCCTTAAATCTCCTTGGGAACTCCCCCAAACTGGTCAGTGATAGCATAATTGCCCCAGGATGAGCAGGATGCCCATATCTGGTAAATGCATGACCACCTACTTCATGCCAGGAGTGGCTGTGAGGAATGAACAATTTATGAGAGTCCCCCTTGCCCCAAAATCTCAGAGAACTAACGCACACAGTAGAAGGCAGTGCAGATGAAACGTGCTACTCCCTGGATCTGAGCCCTCCCCAATAACTAAATTACGTTCTTTGGGCAAGTTATTTACCCTCCTTGTGCCTTGATTTCCTCATTTGTGAAATGGGGTTAATATACTACAATTAAATAAGCTTGGGTTTAAGATGATTCTGGGCTTAGGATAACACCTGACATATAGTAAATGCTCCATGAATTAGTTCTCATTAGTGGGTCTCTGCCTACAACAACATGACCAAGTTGGGCTAGCATCAGAATGCAACAAAGCAAGCAAAATGCAACTGAGGTTAACACTACTTGAAAGAGGATAATTAAAATTTACCCTTTGGACACCTGGGTGGCTCAGTGGTTGGATGGCTGCCTTTGGCTCAGGTTGTGATCCTGGGATCTGGGATCGAGTCTCGCATTGGGCTCCCTGTGAAGAGCCTGCCTCTCCCTCTGCCTATGTCTCTGCCTCTCCCTCTCTCTCTCTCTCTCTCTCTCTCCGTGTCTCTCATGACTAAATAAATCTTTTAAAAAAATTACCCTTGCACTGAAAAGTTAAGCAAAGCTCCCCAGCTTTTCCTCTACTGGTTAAAAGGCATCTTTCCATCTTCTTACTCTCATAGCCATCTGTATCTTGCTCTTTTAGCTCTTGTCACTTGCTAGCTCATGTCATCTTTGTTTTACATGCTGTAGTTCACCCAGGAAACTTTTAAGGTTTCTTGAGGAATGGATCTAGGACATGTGTCCCCCTTGGGACTCTGAATACCAAGGGTGCTGAAAAATTAATGAGCTGCATCAATGAATGGATGGAAGTCCCTCTGACTGGCAACTCCTAATGGCCCCTAAATATTGAGGTTGGTTATCCTTCCTTACTGCCATGACTGCCTCAGTTAGCCGGGGACAGCCTCCCTCATCTGACTATGTAAATCACTACTTCTATTAGCCACAAATGATCCTTTCCTAAGGGCCGTGAATATCAAGCTTCTATACATATCAGTCAAAGCATTCCACGGTAAGTTCCTTGTCTGTGGCTGAGAGTTCACAGTTCGATTACATATTTATTTCATTACCATAGGCTTTTCCAGGATGTACATGATGGAGGGCATTTCCGAGCCACTTAACAGTAGGGTACCAAACAGAACACGGCATCTTGGAAGGCTGAGAAATTAAGATGAAATGAAACCATCCCACCATCCAGCTGCAGGATACCAAATTGCAATTTAGTATATTCGGCCTCTAGTTTTCTTATTTCAGCTCAGGCGGGAAAGGAAGAGACTTCCTATTAGTGAACGGACTCCCGGATTCATGCTTTTAACCTACAAAACTCTACGTAAAATCAAAGCTCAAAGGTGTGACTGAGATATCTTCCGGGCTCAGATGAGGTATTTGTTACTGTTCCATATTCGAGTCCCAGATGGGTGAGGGATTCAGTCATATTAACAAATAGAAATTTCTTCCAAATTGTTTCTAACAGGCACTTCTTTAAAATGTTTTACTAAAATCACACTTTCTGTTTCATCTACAGTGACTGTTTTGATTGGCTAGCATTCCTCCTGAAACACATTCATAATTTGCTGAACTGGCATTTTCAAGGGGATCTCTCTTCCAACAAGAATAATCGAAAGCCTTATTTGATGCTTATAAAAAAACAGATAGTGACAACCACAAAGAGAAATACAATTTATTTTTATGAGAGTGAGTGTCTTCCATAGGCAGAGCTGGAATGCATGGGTCTTTTTCAGCAGGTTGCATAGCCAAGGGTGATGCATGCAACTGTTGGTCCTGTTTTCCCAGTGGCAAGATAAATATAGTGCTTGCTAGCCACACCTGGAAAGACTACTCTAAGAAAGGATGAGACTGGGTTTCTAAGGAATTCCAGTTTTCTTAAAAAGCAATGCTACACAACAGCATCATTATCACATCACTAGACAGCGGTGTCAAATAACACCTGAGAGCATGGGACCTGGTACGTGGCAGCTTGCGTTCTGGAGTCAGATATTCCTGATTTCACATCTGGTTCCTGTTCTGATTAGCCAAGTGATTTTGGAGCATTATCCAGCCTCTCTGTCCCCGTACATGGAAACCAGAGGCAACAGCATCTGCTTTATGTGTATGTCATGAAGATAAAGTGACATGACACATGGAAAATGCCTAATAGTTCCTTGAACATAGTAAGCACATATTAAATAGGGGCCATTCTCGCCAGAATTATTTCAAATACATTATATTTTATGATCACCAGAATGTGGGAAGAGGATTGTCATGGAAATTGAGGGCTGCCACATGATAAAAAGAGTCGTGAGTTTTCTACCCACTAGTTTCACCCAAAGTTTTCAAGTTTAATATCAAGGTCACAGATTTTATCCCTCTTAAAAGAGATAAAAAAAAAGAGATAAAGTTTGTGGTCCTAAACCACAGGTTATAGACAAATCTCTGTCAACTAATTAGCAAATGTGTGGCACAGGTCCTGGGGGCACTGGATGGAGAATTGGATAAATCCATGACACCCTCCAGCAGTGGTCAAAAAGCAATTTGAAGTCTATGTCCTACAGGCAGTGAGCTGCTTGTATTAAGCCAACATAGGAAAACTATTGGCATCGATTGGGTATATCAGCTCCACAAACAGAAACGAAACTAGAGCACGCTCACTCATGGAGGTGACCAGAAGTATGGTCCTCAAATCAGGAATGAGGAAGCCCCATCCCACCCCCCTATCCAACTCCCTCACCCCAGGGTGGGGACACCCCTGTATGTCAACTCTCAATTTCCAAAGCTGTGGGGAGATGCTCAGGGTGGGGTGATCTGAAGCCATGTGCATTTAAAAAAATCACCTAATTTAAGATTTGGAATACATTAAGAGATTTTCTTAGTGGAGTGCTATGAGTTGAACTGTGTGTTCCCTTAAAGAGAGAATCATGAAGTCCAAAACCTTAGTACCTCAGAATGTGACTTTATTTGGACACTGGGCCTTTACAGAAGTAATCAAGTTAAAATTAGGTCACTGAGGTGGGGCCCCAACCTAATATAACTATGCCCTTAAACAAGGGGAGATGTGGACACAGAGATGAAGGCAGGGGCTGGGTAGTGCGTTTAAAGGTCACAGAACACCAAAGACTGCCAACAACCACCAGAAACCAGAAGAGAGGGACAGACTGTCCCTGCCAGCCCTCAGAAGCCTCAACCTAGCCATCACCCTGACCTAAGACTCACAGCCTCCAGGACTGAGACAATCCACTTTTGCTGCTTCAGCCTCTCTCTTTGTGGGACTTCGCTGGGCAGACCTAGCCAACTAATATTATAGGAAATAGGAGGGAAATCCCCTACCTGGGCTTTTTGTTCCTAATTCTAATTAGGTTATGTTAAAAACTATTCCCATTTTCCGAGAACAAATGAACTCTCTGGAGGTAAAGACAGGTTAGGTTTTTAATTCAGAGAAGGTACTCTGTGAAGTAGATGGTCCACCCAACTGCTAGTCTGTTTATACTCTTGGGTTCTTAATTTCATAACTCCTCTGATTGGTGAATGGTGGTTTGTGGGCTCGCTTGTAGTTGAGTCTCCAGATTGAGTTTTGGGGGAGTGGCTGGCTCATAAACCCAATCGTTCCCTGCTCTTCCATCACCCTCCTTGGAGTAGCGTTCACCACGGAGGGTGCACATGGGCCTCTGCACCCGCCCCAGCCCCTGCTGTGGTGTGCGTGCTTCTTACATGTACACTTTCAGGATGAGGTCATCTTTTGTCTCGCCTGTCAGCAGGTCAGCAATGCTCAGAACTGCACAGCCAAAGGGTCGCCGGTACTGGACACTACAGGCATTCTTTTTCTCTCCTGCTCCCATTCGACCTGTTCAAATGAAAAGCAAAGATGGCCCATGGGGCCATTTGACTGGTGCCCCTTAAACAAATACAGAGGTCATAGTAAATGTAACCAGGCAAGTAAAAGGGCACAGAAGATGTTACTTCAGTTCTTGATTCTCCTTTCTAAGCACCTAGCTGGGTGACCTTGGCCTTATAGATGAATCTCTGGGCTCCAGCTGTCGCCAGTAAAACATGGAGACTGGAGCTGATCCCAGGTTTGGGAACCCTCTCCCAAGGATTCACCAAGGTAACCCAGAAGGTTCGACTTAAGAAATGCAAAAATGGTGCCTGTTTCATTTTTCTATTTTTAAAAAATTTCCATATTTAAAGAACTATTTCAAACATTATACCTTTGAAAGGAAGAAGTTTGAGACTCCCTGAAAGTAGAACAAGTAAGCACAGACGATCAAATGAGCATGCATGCCCCTTTCCTGACCCAGGGCTCAGGCTGATTATAACTCAGCCAATGGCTGAAATCTCCTGGGATGCTTTTCACTCTCATACAGTTTCAACTTGTTATATATTTTTAAGTATTATTGAGATACTGTTGTAATTTATTATTATATTTACCAGTGGATTATTGTGAAGACAGGAAGCAGAAAGTATACTGAAGCTGAAATATAACAAGTTAATGTGAAGAAAAATAATGAAAAAAATATGCAAATCTGTTTCCAGATGCTTGGCAACAGATACATAAATTGTTTTCCATCTGAGCAAAATTCTCCCATAGCACATCTAGAGGACTTCAGCACTTCCCCAATCCAATGTTAAACAGTGTAAAAATAAAAGGGGGTGGGGGAGGATGGCAATATCCAATTTGGCTTCCATTCATCGGTAATAAAGTAAAACTACCATGGCAATGCATCATTTTTAGGGAAATGCTTACAAACAGCATGAAAATTTCTCATTTTATCAGCTAGAATCAAAACTAAAAAACATGCCAGTTGCTTTGTAGAGGTGCAAAATTCAAGGAAACATGTTTCATGACCTGATGCTGTAACGTGTGGCTAAATTTCAATCCATGTTTTAATATAAATTACACTGGCAAATCATATACTTTACATGTCATACTTGAATTTATCAACAAATCATACTTTTATTCACAAACCTGACAATCTTAAAACTCTAATGACTTATTAAATGGGAAAAAAATTCTAGGTTATCTCTGTTTTGAATATTATTACAGATTGGATTAGGATGAAGCATATTCTCCAATCTTTACCAATATCATGATTTATTTTTCCTTCTTGATCATTCCCTTGCAAATGCAAGACAACTAAGTGATTAGAAGATTTCTGAGTGGAGTATTTCAAAGTCCTTTAACATCACACAAGAAATTCAGTACTAAAAAACAACAAGAAAACCCTGAAACTCTCACCATGATTATTCCCATGGACTCTCCTAGCTCTAAATTCCTAGAAGTTTATGCAGGGCAAAGCTATCATCCCAATTTTTTGGCCCCTTTTGGTTAGAACTGCATGAAAGAAAACCCTGCAGGAGCCTGGGGGAGGACAGCCAAGTACAGGGGATGCAGGAGGCCATCCTCACAACCAGAGGAGACTGCAGGGAGGTTTTGATCCCTCCCTCTAACTGCAGGTCAGCATCACTCCTGAGCCTCTGCACCACTCAGGTCCTCAGACCTTCAATTTCAAGTTTTCTTTCCTGGCTCGGCAGGCATCACCTCTTTGAACACCAAAACTTTGGTCTAAGTCCTGTACTGAAAAGACTGTATGATGCCAGCCTTGGCGTTCCCAACTCTAGAATTAATGAAAGTTCACGGTTCTGGTCAGATTTCTAGGAAAATTCTCTAAGCAGAAAGGAAGGTAGGCGTGGGGAAGGTAAAAAATATCTAGCTGTATTTAGTAAATAGTTTCAGCAACCAGCTAAAAGCCAAAAGGAGAAACACAGAGGTGGAAAAACCTTTAGCAGGATGGCTATGAGGATATGGAACTATTTATTTCTTTTTTTCTCCTCCTCTTGTAACCAATCAAAGATCCAGGCTTAGATTGTGAGGCAAGGTGCCACTGCTCCTGTTCTCTGCAACCGGTGAGGGTCAGCTTGCCCTTTTACTAAAGCAACACTCCAGAAAAAGTAAGAAGTATCTGCCCCTGATAGACAAGAATCTTCCACTCCTTAATTTCATTGCAGCAGATGAAGTCTTGCCCTTTCTTAGCGTTTCTTACCTTCAATCTTATTTCTTGTCAGTCTCAAAATGTCAAACCAGTAAATGTGACCAACCATCAGGCAGTTTTGGCGGTAATCTCAGGGAAGGATTAATTTGACCAAAACTTGGTGGGTGGGTGGGTGGGTGGGCAGGGGGTACAGGTAATGTCTGATTCAACATTCATTAATGATCATAAAAATCTCAATAAAGAATGCAATCGCTAATCCAGGACCATGTATTTGAAAGGCAGCCCTATGACTGGTAACACGAAAGCAGCTTCCTCAGCAGTAGAGCCACCTGGGCCACAGGTGAACAGGGCCCGGGGCCCTGCTGCCACATGGGCTACTACCACCAAAGACCTTCAGCTACCTTTTAAAAAGTTCTGAAAGCAAAAGTACTATACTTTTTCTCCCGATACTATACAAGATTATATTCAAATGCAACGTTTACAGGAAGGTATCCAAAGCCACATTTTACACTAACAATTGGCATTACAAATTTGAATTACAAACACACACACACACACACACACACACACAGAATTACTTGACGAACTGCACCCCTGCCATCCTGAGAACACAAAAGCTTCATCTCATAAATACACGGTAGCATGCATTCCAACTTTTCCAACCTTTTAAGGATTCTTTCTGATTTTTTCCGCATATATACTCACTTATAAAAAAAAATTAACACAAAAATGTTTACTTTTTTTTATTTCAACTGTCCCTCAAATAAAAAAATAGCATAAAATGAAAACAGGTCCCCAGAACTGACTTTTATTAGAAAAATGTATAGAAAATCTATGTTAGGATAGTAACATGTTTTATAGTCTCTCGATGCACGGTGAACTTATCAGATGCATAAGATACAAGACTATAAAAATAAAGATCACTATGCAGGATTGCCTGGCAATATATTACTATCCTGCAGAAGCATTCCTAAGCAAATGATATAGTACAGTTAGTGAAGAAGCGGGAACCAGTTTCCAGTATTAGCTGGTTAGCTTTAATACAAAAACTGTGTAGGCTTTACCATTCCTCATTTTACCTAGTTCCTCTGCCATTAAATACCTGCTTTTAGAGGTATTTTATGGGTAAAAACAAGTGAACACATTCTGGCTCTGTTGTGCAAGCTCGGTGTAGAACACCCAAAGTGTGCTCTGCAAGATATTAATAAATGTTACATTATATAAATGTTTCCATGGTCAAATCAAATTTGGAGAAAGCTAGGGCCAACCAAGTTAGAGAGGCATTTTAATATTTCCCGGTAGGACTTCTCAGACCCTTTAATGAGCTGATGATATTATAAAAGTGGAAAAAATACATAGCATTCAGTGTTCCATAGCCCTTAAGTCTTTAGTTATAGCACTTTTTTTCTTTTTTAAAGTTGTAGCACTTTTTGCAATAATGCTCTGTAGCACCCTGCACTTTGGAACATGTCAATTAGTATAAAATTTTCAAAAACTTGTAGGAAATCCAGATTCTAAAAGTAATTTATGCTGTTAACAGAAATTAGAATTTAAAAAGACAAATGCCAAATTTTGAATCAAATCTGTTTAGGGAGTCCAATAAAACAAAAAGAAGCACAACAGACTACCTCGTGACTTCTATGGAAAGAAAACAAAGTCTATTTGTGATGTATGGGGAGGTTGGTGGTGGGTTTGGAGAGGCAAGGGAAAAATTTCCAAATGCGGTGTTTCTGGGATTCCAAACTGGCTTTCACTTCTTTCTGATCCAGATAGCAAAGAAATCACAACACAGAGACCTTTCAGCATTTCTTCCCCCTGCTGTGCTCCTATCACACTGACAAATGTTGAACTTACCAATTCGGATAATGTGCACAGTGATATAGATGTCTCTTCTTAGCTCGCTGCTACCCAGATCCTATGAAAAGAAAAAAAAGCAAAAAGCAAAAAAAAAAAAGCATGATTATTTTAAAACTCATAATTTATATAGAAGCATTAAAGGTCAAAGCACATTATTTCCACAAATAACAGAAGACAAAGATAATGTAGACACTCCTAATGGAATTTTGTAGCAGAGGTATATAATTCAAATCCTGTTCTAAAAATACCACTCCAATCAACTTAGCACTCTAAGTCTACTGATGTCAAATAATACTTAAAAAAAAAAAAATCTTATTTTAATCTCTCACTCACTGATTCTTTAAACATTTAGTACATTCTAAATACCATACGCTGTGTGGAGCGTAACAGGCTCTAACGTACACCAAAGGAAGAGAGGTGTGTCTATGAAGGGTGATATTCAGAGTTCAGGGCACTACCATACTTCTTGTGTTATTTACAAAGTTTAAGCAAAGTCACTATGTTCTCTCACAATACTTCATTTCCTTTAAATAATATAAAGTACAATTGGAAGAATTCGCCTGTAGATGAAACAAGATCCACCTACCACAAAGAGAGAGCAATGTCGTTCTGGTTTATCTGGGGCTTTGGGAAGTCCATTTCTATTCAGCCTCAAGAAAAATCTCTCACTACAAGAGAAAAAAAAGTTTCATTTTCTGAAAATTATTTAATATCTAAGGGCTTGTCACTCTTCTAGTTGTTCTTCATCTTAAGTTAGACTCAAAACATATTAGGTCCTTCATTTGATGTCAGAATTGCTTGTTAATTAGGAGGACGCCCAAGACAATAAACATTTGCTTCACTTCTGACAATACTGGCAAATCAGCAACTACAAAAGCAGAAAACATAAATATACATGCAAGCGAAAAATTAACTTTTAAAAGAATAGGTTTCCATATCCATGAAATCATTCTTATTATTCCAAAAAGTAGAAACAGGTGCTGTAAGGGAAAAAAACATGATCTAACATCTTTTTTGTGTTTGTATCCAAGAATATTGTTTTTCAAGTTGTATGTCTTAGTAGTTAATTAACATCATACAAGGACACCATCCTGAGTGGCAACCATCTAATAGAAGGCTTAATATGTTATGCTCCAAAACATAAAGAGAAGGCCCAAGAAATGAATTTGCACTGGTCCACAAAGGAAAAGGAGACCTCAAACTCCCCACAGAACTTGCATTTGAAAATACAGGGTCCCCAAATTTAATACAAACACAAATGCTATTGGTCAGTTACTAATTCAAATCAATAAATACTTGTGGATATCATTTAGATCCAAGGTAATGTTATCCCATTTATAGTCAAATAAATAAATAAAACAGGAAGACTATCAACCCCCCAAAAAATGAATGTATCAGCAACCATGAGCTTCTGAATTTCAATATCCTGGTGCCTACAACAGTATCAAGTGGCTGCCGGCCTCGGGCAGAGAATACAGAGCCAACAATCCACAGAATGTGGTACTAGGGGGTATTAGCACACAGTGTGGCCTTGCTTGGAGTAGCTTCAGCCTGGGGACTGAGCAGAGAAAAGGGACTGTAGGGCATTAGTGAGGCTCAGAACTACCAACCCCATGCTTATTCACCACCCAATCCTTGCCTTAAATAATGGCTCTATTGACTCCAATCTTCCTTCTCTCAAACAAGGGGAGAAATGAGAGCCATAACCACATCTCCAAGGAAGCATAAGGATACGGATTTATGGCTGTTTTGAACATTTTTATTCTCTTTTGTGATTTAAATCTAGATAGATCCTTGTAACAGATTCAACTACCTGACTTACCTTGTTCTTTTTTTTTTTTTCCTTCCATTATACCTATTCCTGACCTCTCATATGAGAAAGGGCAAACCAATGCACATTTCTGTGGGGTCATTTCCACACCTATTATCTATGGGGTTTTTTGGGTATTTTTCCATAGAGCGGTGGCTGATGAGGTCTGAATGAAGAGAATATAAATTGCTGCAAGGATTCTCAAGTGAAGCTAAAGTTCCCACAATATACAATTCTGAAGAAGAGGTGGGAAATGACAGCTCCAACTGAGGATGCAGAGTTAAATTAATGATACCCAATCATTATTTCCTATAATGAAAGGAGAAGGACTGTAAGCTTTCTTCACCATGGAAGATAATTCACTATTATTTCTAAATTAAGATATGCTAAAAGGGAATATGTAAAAATCATCTTCAGATAAATGAATTAAATAATCATATTAAGTATTACTATTTTTCCAAGAATTTACCATTTGATGGCTATTCTGCTAAGGACTTTACAGGGTTTAATTCATTTAATCTGGGCAGCCCAGGTGGCTCAGCGGTTTAGCGCCGCCTTTGGTCCAGGGTGATCCTGGAGACCTGGGATCGAGTCCCTCGTCGGGCTCCCTGCATGGAGCCTGCTTCTCCCTCTGCCTGTGTCTCTGCCTCCCTCTCTCTCTCTGGGTCTCTCATGTATGAATAAATAAAATCTTAAAAAAAAATAAAAAATAATAATTCATTTAATCCTCACTATGTTCTTATAAAGACAGTACTATTATGCCCGTTTTATAGATGGGAAAACTGAGAAATAGTAAATAGTTTTACACCCAAGATCACAGACCTGGTGTGTGGCTGAGTAGTGGCTCCAACCCATGTGTTAATTCAAAACCTCTGCACTTCATTTGAATGCTGTATGGTAAATCTTTCCTCTGCTTTGTAGAAATAGAGAGCCAGTATTTCCAGAATACTGAGATAAGGGAAAAGTCATTTATTTGCTTGGGACAACCACTGATTCAGTCAAGCCTGGTCCTAAGAGTACAGGGTCACTGTCTCCACACCCTTCCTGGCCTCCCAGGAATGAAAGAAGTAGAGATCTAGTTCAGCAGGTATCAAACCAGTCCCTGGCTTAAAATAGTTCCTTGGTAGTTTGTTCAAGGAAACATACGTAGAAAAATAAATTGGGGAATAAATTATTTTATTAAACAAACGCAGAGCTCCAAAATGATGTAAGAACTTGGCTTTAGTGAAACAAAACTCTTGAGATTTAAGACTGGTATTTGGTTTTGCTTCTTAGTCATCAAAGAACATTTATTGATTATATTTTAGCCCCAAACACAAGCAGTGTGACCACTTTCCCCTCTTCTGTATCACAGATGGCACATACTACTTTATATTTTTATATTTTGTTGAGATGCACTTAGGTTGGAGGTTCCTCTTTATCCAACATAAGTGGTAAAACCAATTTCACTTTACCTTCTGACAGGCCAGTCTAAAATAATGAATGCCAATAAGATTACTATACAAAAGTCAACAAGGCATTCTAGATATTAAAACCTTAACTTTAATACTGATATAAAATACCACTCCGTATTTGTAAGCTTCATCAATATTCTGGTAAAGCAATGTTTCCTAAAGTATTCTATTTCAGAAAGAGATTCCTTTTGCTCTGTCACTATTTTAATTTCACCAGTCTAGACAGAATCCTGATTATGCAAGTATTATACTATATCATATCCTGTTTCAGAAAGAATATCAATATGTACTAAGCCAATGACATATCCCTGAGCTTAAGCATGCCTTAAGGGGGAGATAAAAATAGACCAACGATGGGTACGATGGAAAAATAACTCATGTGCAATTTTTTAAAAACCAGACTTCTATTCAAAGGAAAAAGAAAACCTCTGTTGCTAATTAAAAAAAAAAAACCCACCTTTTTTATTCATTTAGTGACAATTTATTTTACAAACTCAAATCAGGGTCTCTTCAGCTTTGGTGATACAGAACCTATTTAACCAGCGAATGATTTCAGAGTAAACAAAAGACTTATAGCGACACATTTCAGAACTCTTAAGTACTTGACAGGTGGCATCTCTCATTAGAAAACAAAACTAGTTTTTGTGAGTTTAAAAAGTGTCCTATGATAAGATGTAAATCCCTCAATTACATCCTTTACATTTTTTCCCTCATCAGAGCAGGTTTGTGTGTTTCTATTACATTGTGAGGAACTAGAGTACAGGGTGATCGTTATTAACCTTGACATCCCCAGCTGCTAGCCAATGACTCGGTACTTCCTCAGTGTTTAACTAAAGACTGAACGCTCTTTTAGGAAAAAAATACAACACAATTCAAATAACTGGGGAGCTTTATTTCCCTTCCTAACTTTCTCTCTCTTCTCCATAGTGTCCTTTACTTTATGGTGAGAAATGTAGGAAATTCTCCAAAGAGACATTTCAATCAATGGTGCCTCCCCACCAGATGTGAGAGCCACCTAATTAACTTCTTGGACCTCCCAGATTCTAGATCATGCTTTTAACCTTGTCCTCATGCGCATTTTATATCTTTATTATATTAAACATACAGTAATGGAAAAATCTACAGTGACATCATATATTTCCAAATGAGAATACTGCATCCTTCATCATCAAGGAATGAATAAGCAAATAGAAACACTTCCAGAAACACTGAGAAATGTGAATTGGTATTACCAGCAAGGAAAAAAAAATTCCTCATTTGACTTCTCCATATACTGCCATGTTCTCCCAGAGGAAATTTCACTGCCAGAGAAATTTAGTGTCCACTTGAATTCCGCATGTGAGCCCTTATAAATCATTCTATATTATAAATCAATAAGGAAATATGTTCTTTGGAAATAAAGAATAAAAAAACCATAATTATTTATTATCTATGACTTGCCTTTTTCTAACAAGGATGCAAGAAAACCAAGATAATGAAATAGAGTGTAAATAAGCATTTCCAGGATGGCCCCAGGGGAAAAACAGTACCAGTAAATACATACCCTGTGCTAGGCACCACAACTTACACTTCACATGGATTTTCTCACTTAATTGTCACAACTGCCCTATGTGGTAGGAACCACCTCTGTGTCCCTACTTTACATATGAGAAAGCTGAGGCTTGGAAATATTAGGTAAATCGGCCAAACCTGCATGATCAGCAAGGATGGAGCCAGGAAATCAATTATTCAGGGCTTGACTCCAGAATCTCAGCTCTTAACCACAACACTATGCTGTATTTAAAAGAACAGATTACCTTGAACAAAGGAGAGCAAGACTAACCATGTCGTGCTAACTGAGGGTTTTTATTGTGAATATTTTCAATAAAATAAAAAGTAATGAAAATGCATGAATCTGGAAAGAAATTAAGAAAGAAAGGCAGCCACCAAGTCACAAACGTATCTGTGTTCAGTGTACATCTGTGAACCTGTTCAGCTGTACTACTACATTCTGAAATATTAAAAAAGATCTCTGACAACGAAGGATAGCATAGTTTGATAGAAAAGTCCTTACTAGTGATCAAACACTGTAGGGTGTGCAGCAGGGCTATGAAGCCCCCTGATGGCTTCTGTTCCCATTCTCAGCAGGGTAGGATGCTCCTGTCTTCCTGCCCTCTATCATCTTCACTGAGAAGTATCACCCTTTTGTAGGAAAGGCCCTGCCTAGGGTCTTGGAAGCCTGCAGGCCAGATGCGGAAGGGTGCTTCCAGCCTTCTGAGTAACCTCATCAAGTGGTTCTCCCGTAGGGTGCTCCTAAGATACTCAGTTGGCTTCAAAGAGCAATGCACCTAAAGTTAGGAATGCCCAATGCCAAGGAGACTTTTACATTTCTCTGTATGGATTCATGTTTACCTCCCTTCAGTTC